TCAAGGCGGAAGTGTATCGCTAATGTGACAGGGCTGATGATATCATACATGACAATCATGCACGAGCTGAGTCAGCTCGAAACATTATCCTGGAGGAGCTCAGCCGATGCTTCCTCAATCTTCATTTTGATTATTCGATCTGCATCATGGAGGGCGCCGCCACGGACGTATGTCCGCCACCGTTGCACCAACGCTTGAATCTGGGCTTCGTACTCCTGGATGCGCTGCTGCAAAGCCGTCACGTCCCGAGGAGACGGCTGAAACGATAAAGCTTTCAAGCGGGGAAATGCCTATTGAGGCAAGGCGAACACGAACCACAAGACTGGGGAGGCGGGTGATTACCACGCTGGCATTGACAACAATTTCTTCTTCCTCACTTTCACTCATCGCTCTTTGGACCGAGGATACCGAAGACAAGGCGCTGGACGACGAGGAGGAGGAATCAGAAAACTGAAGGGGAATCTTTTCGGGCTATCACGACATCATAGCAACTCTACCGATTCGGTATCTCCCAAGTAGACTATACGCTGTCGCTCGTGTCCTCTTGGTGACACCTTGGACTGGAAGCTCAGCGATTCACGGGCTCCTCCAGTCGGGATTCGTTTCACTTCGAAGAAACCACCTACGCATAGACGAATCCCCACAAAGAAGCGGTTCGCCATCGACTACTGGAGGTTTTCGATCTCTTGAACGACATCGAGGTGAGGGGAGGATCATCCGCCCATGGCACCGGCACGGCAACGGAGAGCCTCCGACCTCCCCCGCCTCCAACGGTGGTCTCGTCTGTCTGAGTTGCCGTGGTCACGCTGGCTCTTCTCTTTTTTGAAAAGCGTTTCTCATCATGCTCGAACGCGACTTCGTGTTTTATTGGGCTAACTTTGGGGCTTCGGGACCGTCCGCCGAGGAGCAACCCCAGCAGACAGGCCAAGCATCGCGGCCGTCGCCGGGACATCCCTCAGAAGGACGCCAAAGAGGGCTGATGAATTCCACTCTTCCGAATGCTGCAACTAAACCCTCGAATTGTCTTCAGAGTACATCATATGCACATCATGAATGATCATGCGAGTAGAGCAATATGAGGCAGACTCGATTTAGGAGTCATCAAAGCCCGGCGGTCGACACAGTTCATGCAAACTGTACGTCAGAATAATGAGCATGCAAGATCGCCGCTCTAACGGACTCCAGCCGCACCACAACTTCATCCGTGGTATCATCTGTAGCGCCACAGTCTTTGAGGGACTTCTGGACACACTGAAGGAAACAGTCCAGATGGAAATCGGTCATGGCCAGAGTCTGGTGTATCTCCTCGAGACTCCGGCCGTTGTATTCCGACGATCCTGAACGGAATCAGTGTGACGAAGATCGGCTGAGGACACGGACCTCCAAGAAGCATGCTGATGTAGGCTGCCTGGGCCTTCTTGATGAGCTCCAACTTGGACCCCTCGAAAAACATGTTGATCCTGTTGTCTCTTTCGACAAACTCATACCTGCCGATTCGATTGCATACAAGATCAACGGTCTCGCTTACAAGTGGCTGATGAAGTGGGAGATTCCCTCGTGTCCGCCCAACTTCATGAACAGCTGATCCAAACCGTCGGTTTCGTTCTTCTTTTTTGCTGCCTCCATTCTGACTGTGCAACCAATGGTCACGTCCGATCGTATACCATTCACGACCTGACTATTTCTTCTCGAGGACTTGAACTCCTATGAGAAAACCTGAACCCACCTGCGTCATATCGTCTATAGTATCAACATCTATTTTCATTTCCCTGGCTGCGTTGGTGAGGACCTCCAATATGGCGTCGAAGTGGTAGTTGGTGATGTTCATATTATAATGGGCGGGCTTCAGGTTAGCTGGATCATATTGTATCGGGCCTCAAAATGCTCCGCTGAGATACTGGTACCCTACAGCCGTGCTCCCATCACTGCCGAGAGTTCATCTACGGCTACATTCGCATACGAATCTTTCTCTGAGTTGCCTGTCTCTATTGAAGAAGAATGGACCCGCGAGTCACTACGGCACGGTCGTACCTGCACG